TTTTATCTGAAAATCTTGTGAAACTACGAAATTGCCCTTTCATTTTCATGTGTGAGTTGCACGTGTGCAATTCACGAATAAATTTTGCTATAAATGGATTTTTTAATCGCCGGTGCAACAATTTAACAAGTTCAGGTATGCTCGTGCAACTTTTTTCCGTTCAGGGGATAAAGCGCAAAAACGTCCAAAGTTTAGGGGATTTTTTGCAGTTAACCCTTTTTAATATTCCTCTTTATATGTATTTTTTTATTCATCGTCTTTAAATCTTTTTTTATTTATTAATTAAAAGGCCTAATTTATATATATATATATATATATATATATATATATATATACAGTGGCGGATCTAGCTATGGTCTAGGGTGTGCAGCTGCACACCCTTGATTTTAAATAAATACTACTATTATACATATGTTGACAGAAAAAGTAGGTGGTTGAGGTGGTAAAGATAGAGTAAACTGCAAAAACTACCCCTGTGTTATCTCGAAATAGCAAAAACCCCCCTGTGATAAATAAACTAGCAAAAACCCCCCTGTGAAATTTAGTCAAAGGCAGAATCCCCCCTAGCTGATTTTTTAGACTTGAAATGACAAAATTGACCCTCAAAATGTATTTATATATATACATATTATATGTATATTTATTCTTTTTGATTTATTTGTTTAGAAATTAAAAAAAAATAGTAAACAACTAAATTGATTATTTTTTAAATAAAATAATTAAAATATTTATAAAATATAAGAATTTATTAATTGCAAGACTCCAGGGGTATTTGTGTCTTTTTATATCAAGTCAACCCTCAAATAGTTCCATAGGGGGGTTTTTGCTATTTAAATAATTTCACAGGGGGGGTTTTTGCTAGTTTATTTATCACAGGGGGGTTTTTGCTATTTTGGGATTACACAGGGGTAGTTTTTGCAGTTTACTCGGTAAAGATATGCCTCCCTTTACTAACAGGTCACGGGTTCGAGCTCCACTCAAACATTTTGATTTCTTTTCCAAATCTTAACATTTTTCACCTTTTTGTTCCACTATTTTGATTTTTTTTCCCAAATCTTAACATTTTCACCTTTTTTTCTCATTAAATATTTCCACAATTCACCTAAAATTTTTACATTGTAAATTTTTGGTCCACTATTTTTATAAAATCTTAACATTTTCACCTTTTTTCTCATTAAATATTTCCACAATTCACCTAAAATTTTTACATTGTAAATTTTTGGTCCACTATTTTTATAAAATCTTAACATTTTTCACCTTTTTTCTCATTAAATATTTCCACAATTCACCTAAAATTTTTAAATTGTAAATTTTTGGTTCACTATTTTTATAAAGTGATATTTAAATTTTTTACTCTACAATTTCGAACCCCCTTGGCAAAAATCCTGGATCCGCCACTGTATATATATATATATATATATATATATATATATACACCACTCGTGTGCACGATTTCGTTGCCGTATCTATCAATCTATCTTACATAAATTCGTATCTATCTATATCTAGCTTCATATATGTTATATTCTGAATAGGGTTGGTTTGCACGTGCCGTGTAATTCAAATCAATATATAACATAGTTCAAAGATGCTCAAACTCAGGCATATATACATACATACATGCATAAACAATATTAATTAAAACAAATAAATTAAACACGTACAACTTGTAGTAATTAATTAATTAGTAGTTAATTAAGGTTAAATGGAACAAGTATTCCAAATAGAAAGGTGTTAAGACATCAAAAGACATGGGTCACATTATCCCATAAAAACAAAAGCTGTTAATTAAAAGAAGATTACAACTAAGCTTCATTTGCTCTAACCCTTTTTTTCTCCTTTTTTTTTTCTTCTTTTTATTGGGAACAAAAATTACAAAAATTTTAATCCGTTTTTTACGGATTAAGAAAGATAATTTATGATCTAATACCGATGTATTCACGTTCTTGCGTTGATTAATTCCTTGTACGAATTATATATATTTGCATCCAAGTCCTCTTTCTTCTTGTTGATTGAAAAATAATCTGCAGTCACTCGAAATGCACTGAATAAATCATGTATATTAATAAATCTGCAATAACTCGCAAGTTAATACAAACCAGATTAAGATATGTGACGAATTCGAACTAAATTGACAAGGGACCAAAGCATATATAAACCTAGCTCCAAATTAAATTACACGAGACAAATAAGTCATATAATAGTATTTATATGTAAATATGCATTATGCATGCATGCACCTAGATTATTTAAGTTGAATTTGCACGGTTGTAATAATAATAATACCAATTATAGCTAGCAACTAATTATAAATACATATTAATTAAAAAAAGGAAAAAAGGGACCACAAATTAAATGTTATGATAATATGTTCAGAACTGATCATATAATATATAGCTTTTAATTAATTTAATTTATAGCAGCTAAGATTTTTGTCAGAAATGCTGGGATTATTGCCTCTAGCTAGTAGTTAGGTTCTTCATTTTTCAAATTTATATATATACCTTTATATTTTTTGTATGTCACCTTTTAGAGTGCACGAAAAGGTGAATTAATAATAAATAAATTAAAAAGAATTAAGCAGTGCAAATATTTAATTTTAAAAGTGCAGGAATTGAGAGCGAAATGGCGAAGACATGCAGCAGTAATGGGAAATTCATGCTCATATATTATTCTTATTATGCATTGGAATTAATATAAATATATAAATATATATTAATAATAATATGACAACTACCTTTTATTACCAGCATGCAGCAGACCTATGAACTTATATAATATACATCTATACAAATTAATATAGTAATTCTCTACTTAGAGGGTTTAAGGGCTTTAATTTTGTACGAAAAAAAAAAAAAATTAAATGTTGGGTAAATTACACCCACACCCTTAAGGTATGCTAAAATAACTTTAAGGTCCCTGTGGTATCGGTAATTACGATTACCCCCTTAAACATTGTTAGAAACTCTAACGTGATAATGCATTGGATACGTTATTCCGATATAGTTCTGACGGACTATTAGTTTCAAGAACACTATCGGAATAACGTATCCACTGCATTATCCCGATAGAGTTTCTAACAATGTTTGAGGGGGCAATTGTAATTACTGATACCACGGGACCTTAAAGTTGTTTTAATATATCTCGGGGGTGTAGGTGTAATTTACCCTTAAATGTTTTCAAACTCGGGTTTGGGTTACAAAAAACCCGGTCGGTGTTAGGTGTACGTGGCGGGTTATTTTTGGTGGCACGTGTTTGGTAATAAAAAAATTATTTCACCGACGGTGGATGTAATAAATGATAGGGAGTATGTATGTGTGTGATATAGAAAGGACAGCATTAAATTTTTTTGTCTGGGATTTTTATTATTTCTCCTTTAAAGATCTTTGTTTCAACCCACACCACTTAATGACAAATTATTTGGATTTTTTTTTTGTTAGATATTGAAAGAACTAGTAATGGAAGTATCACATAAATAAATTTAAATTCATTTACTTTGTAATTAATATTAGCCACTCAATAAATTATTGGTGCCCTTACAATATCTTTTAGTAAATTAGTCTTGAATACTTCAATTTGTACAAATTAAATTCATCAGATCTCACATTGTTAAGTGAAATGCATTTAGATACAATTTATTTGAAAACCCAAATTTGCGCAGCCCAATAATAATCATAATTATTATAATTATTATTAATGTTGTTTCATTAGTGCCCCATTAACGCAGGACAAAACCCAAATGTATATTCGGCCCATTAGGTATTAAACTGGGTGAAAGAAAAAGCCTTTTTATCCAAATTCAAAACTAATCGTATTCCAGATTTACAAAAAAAAAAATATAGATTTCAAACTAATCGAATTTTAAAGGTACGTAGGAGGACTTCATTTTATATAGGGTAAATTACAACCGTCCCTGTGGTATTGTTAAATTACGAAAACTCCTCTTTTGTTTGGGTAATTACAGCCACCCTACAACTATAAATTTGTTTACATATCCACTGTTGCGGTTCAAATTCAGTAGAATCTTCTAGATTATATGGAATAGGGTAAATTACATCCACACCCCTCAGGTATGATGAAATAACTTTAAGGTCCATGTGGTATCAGTAATTACACTCACCCCCTGAAACATAATTAGAAACTCTAATGAGATAATGCATTAGATGCATTAAATATGTTATTCTGATTAGTTTCAGGAAGTGGTAGAGACAACATAACGCTATGGGTGATTTAGGAAATATTGGGGGAGCCATGTCACCCCCTAGCTCTATGTTGTCTCCACCACTTACAAAAAGTAATAGTTCCTTATAACTCTATTGGAACAACGTATCTAATGCATTATCCCATTACCGATACCATAGGGACCTTAAAGTTATTTCAGCATGCCTCAGGGGTGTGTGTGTAATTTACCCTAAGGATATCACTTTTGTATTCGTTTTATCCCATTCGAGCTCCACATTTTGAAGCAAGATGATCATAAAATGTATTTTTTGGTTGCATATATCATATTGTGTTGCATCAGAAACTGCATTTTTATACAAAACGAGTACAAATTAGATCATATTCCACGAAATCTAGATGAGTATGTTGAATTTGACACCATAATGCTGAAGATGTAAGAAGTTTCATAGTTAAGGGGATAGATGTAATTATCCAAACAGAAGGAGATTTTTCATAATTTGACCATACCTTAGGGGTGGTTGTAATTTACCCTTTTATATATCATATATAGATTTCATTGGGTACAAGAGAATTGAAAATGGATGAGCTATAATCTATGTAATTTATAATTATAATTGGCTCTGAGATGCTACATCTGGTGAAATATATCGGATAATTATTAATTGTTGATATGGTGAAATAACTTCCCACTAAACATACATACACATAGGTGTGTATACATGATTGTGTGCAGATCAGCGATTAAAATCACCCGATGTATTTCATCGGGTGTAGCATCAATCAAACCTAATTATAAGTTGCTAATTCTTGTTGACTAGACAAATGTAAGAACAACATGAATATCATTCATTACACAAGATTCAATAATGAAAATAATAAAAAAAACACATACACACAATACACGTGCATATATAATATGCATTCAAGAGAGATGATATTAAAAATAACAAACAATTAATCTATTCTGTTCTTACCTTAAAAAAAACTACATCCTTTGTCTCTAGGGTCCACCAAGGTGGTGAACCAAACAAACCCCCAGACCCACTTACGCACCGACGTGTGAAATGTCCGAAACGCCCTCAACTTTCCGTACACCCTCGATCATCCTCGCCACATCAGCCATCTTCGGCCGCCGGTCCGCCGCTCTTACCACGCACCCCATCGCAATCTGCAGCATCTCCACCAGCTCCTCCTCGATATTCGGACACCTCAGCAGCTCCACGTCGAAAACCTCCGCCGTCCACTCTTCTCTCACAACCGAGTGGACCCACCTCACCAGATTCACGATCTCATCTCCACCGTTGATCGTGTGGACGGGCGATTTGCCCGTCAGAAGCTCGAGCAGTATCACACCGAAGCTGTACACATCGGAGGGTTGCGTGGCTTTGCGTGTATCCACCACCTCCGGTGCGCGATAGCCCGCGGCACGGGCTACCGGTGGGGCTAATGCGCTCATTATTGCGGAAAGGGCGATATCGGAAATGCAGCCGAGTTGTCGGGAGTTTAGAAATACGTTTGATGATTTGATATTTCCGTGGACTAATTTACCCCCGTTTTCTTCGTGGATGCGTGCTATACCTTTTGATGCACCGATGGCTATATTTAGACGGGTTTCCCAATTTAGAGGTGTTCGGTTTTCTCCTCGTTTTCCTGTCAGGTTGAACGGAAGTCACGAGTTTAAATAAATAAGTGCTGTTTAAGGTAAACATAAACAGATCAAGAAACATAATAAATAGCCTTCTTTTTAATGCGAAAGCCCGAAAATAGTTGCCCCTTACAAACGTTGAAGAACGATAAATTAGTTCTCTACAAATTAATTAGCTTGAACAATCAACGATGAATGGTAAAATTGGTTATAAAGAAAATCAATTTCGTCTTTGAATTCCGAAGTGACATTTAATTTTGGAAAGAAAAAAAATAGGTGAAATAATCAGTTTACAACATGATGAAACTAATATCTAAAAGGTTCGTGTTTAAGACCATAATTCACTAAACATCTAGCCCAAAAACTCCGTTTTTTATTTTTATTTTTTTGAAGTGGAGGATCGAAACAAATAATTGATCTGCTTAAACAGCCAAGCAACTAGTGGTTTCTTGAGCAATAATTGAAGCGAGATATACGGCTTTTGGCGAACAAGAATCAAACGAAAAACGGCAAAAACCATTTTAGTTAACGAGTAAATCAAAAGAATTAGAGACAAAAAAACATCACATTAATTATTGTGTCACAAGTCACATTTGATTTATATAGGTAGGTTCGAAAGGCAAGTGAAGTGGACCATGTTTAATTAACATGGAATATTTTCTTTATCTTAAAACACATCACCAATAATGTAATCATAAACGAAATAATACTAACATTTTCGCCTATTTGTATTTACAATACTAAAGATGAAACGTAATTGGCTAATTGCTCTACCCCACAACCCGTTTTTCGTATAATAAACAATGTATAATTTCAATAAATGCTTAAGATTAATTATACGAAGAGAAAAAAAACATACCGTGTAAGAGAGAAGCGACACTTCCTTGACTGAAGTAATCGTAAACAATAAGCTTCTCGTCTTTGGAGTAATAATAAGCCCTAAGCTCGACCACATTCTCGTGTTTAATACTTCCGATTAAATCCATTTGCTGCTCGAAATCCCGTTTTCCGACACTCACGTCTTTCAATCTCTTCACCACCACATTTGTAGCATCTTCCATTATCGCCTTATAAGCAGTTCCAAAAGTACCCTTCCCCAAAACTTCAGCGGAAGCCCTCAATAAATCCTCCAAATCGAACGCATAGTTACACCCCTCGAAGAAAACCAACTTATTACTCGCATCCTGGCTTCGAGAAATCGCTTTCTCGGGCGACATATTCCCCTTCTCCAATTTCCCGGAAAAACCCTCAACCGTTTTCGTTCGCAGAACGCAAACGAGCAATAGAAAACCGAAACCGAGAAGACCAAGAAACGAACTAGCTATGACTATTCCGAGCAAAGCCCGTTCGCTCAATTTCCCGTTTCTCGAACCGTGTTCGTGCGGAGCTAAAACGATAGGCGAACTAACGAACGTGTAATCCAACAAAGACTCGTTATTACCGTAAAACGCAGACTTCGGAAACCTACGAAGCGATTGAGGCACACTACCGACAAGGTTATTGTTGGACAAATCAAGAAGCTGCAAATTCGGTAAGTTCAAATCGGGCACCTCACCGGAGAGTGAGTTGTTAGCAAGATTAAGTGCAATGAGCCGACTCAAACCCGACAACGACGGAGGGACGCTACCGTTGAACCGGTTACCGGACAAGTTAACTATGGTTAAGTTCTTCCAAACAGAGAAGTCTAGAGGTAAATTGCCGGAGAAATTGTTGTGCTGAAGATAAATAAAGGTTAGGTTTTTAAGGTTACCGAAATCGAGAGGGAAGGAGCCGTTAATATCGTTGGATCTGAGGCTCAAGATCTGCAATGCCGATAACCGGGTCAGGGTATTATCCGGAATGGGTCCCTGAAACCCGAACCCGGGTAGCCGGACCGAGGTTACTCTGCTCCCATCTTCGCTGCAGGTGATTCCGGTCCAGTTCTTGCAGACCGGGAGCTGCGAGTTCCAGTTCAAAGGCCGCGAATGGCGGAGGTTGTAAGAGAAGTCGAGCAGTGCTTGCTTGTCGGTTTCGAGAAGGGTTTCTTCTGCTCCGGCGAGGCTGCTGCGGTGGGTTTGTGACAGGAGGAGTAAAACTCCGGCCAAGAAATGGAGCTTCTCCATTAATTCAAGACTGGGTTTTTATCTTTTTCTTTCTTCTTTGTTGGTTGGCTATGGAGTATTTATTATTATTTTGAACTAGTAGTTGTACATAATTCAAATTAAAGAAGGGATCTTTTTCTGGAACAAAAGGTGAGAGACAAAATATATATAGACATTTTATTACATATCAAAAGGGAGAAAGATTTGAAGGGTCCGAGAATGGTGTCTGTCTGAAGGGAAAAAGGTAGTGTGAGATTCTTGAAATGGGCTTTTGAAATGGAGCTACCAGAGTTTGAATTGGGTCGGATCCGGGTCAAAAAGGTGTGATTTTTTCCTTTTTTTTTTTGTAAAGGAAAGCACACAAGAAACAAGAAGCAAGAAGCAGAAGCAGAAGGTTTTCTTTTTGTTCTTTATTACACTGTTCTTTTGGGTTGAGTGCAAGAACACCAATTATCATAGAACTAGGAATTCTTTCACCCTTCTTTTTTTCTTTTTTTCTTTTTTTTTTGTAATAATTTTTTATTTATTTTATTTATGTATTATTTTATTTTATAGGGAAACAAGAAGTTAAGTACAGCTAGTGTACAATTTTTCTCTAGAGAATTGAGCAATTTGGTGTGGGGGAAACAAAACAAAGAAAGATCCAAGAATAAGGTTTAAAAAAAAATTGTGGGGATTCTTTATTTCTATACCTTTCAACCTTTTGTTAATTTGTTATGTCTCTTTATTCGATTTTTTTTTTGAAAATTGAATTTGCAAGAATGAAGTTCGATAATCTCGATTTTATATACGGTCAAAAGGTTTTTAATCGAGTTAATTGCAAAAAAAAAAAAAAAAAAAAAAAAAACCCTCTTTGAGCTATTTTGATTTACTAAAAAAATCTATAAATATTTAAATTTGGAGCAATCAATTTTTCATTAATGATTTTTAGTATAAAATAAGTATTTATTTGTCCACACTAATTTATTTGTTTTGTTTAGGAACATTAGCATATGATGGACAGGTATGAGATAGTGAGTGATGAGTACTGCAAGAAAGGACCAGCAAATTTATGAATAATATCCTTTTTTTTTATTTATTATTTTATTATTTTATTTTTTATTTTTTTATATGTATAATTATTTGAATTATATCCGTATCATTTGTAGGGTAAGCTACAAATATACCGAGTGGGGACTCTACGTACGTGCTATATCATAATCATTATTTTCTATTTTTATTACATATAAAAATATTAAAATAATAAATTGAAAAAAAAAGAGGAGAAAATAATCATCATTTTCCTAATAGTGGCATAGAGACTTTGATTCGTTACCATACAAATTGGGAAGTGATTATTCCACTTTTGGATGTCACTCATTTTCTAATAGTAGCATAGAGACCTGAAATTATATATTTTCGGAAATTAAAATCTGATAAAAAAAATCATAATCTCACATATATTCCAACTCCAATTCAAAAAAAAATATTGAAACGAAAATTGGAATTGGATTTTCGGATTGAAAAATATTGTGTCAAAGTTGGAAAAATTGGGGTGAATCCGATCGAAAATCAGAAATTCCATTTCAATTTAAAACACTAAATTTAATAGCATGTGTTATCAATTATATGGTAGCTAGTTGTTTGTACACATGTATTTTGGAATTCAAGTTTATAGAATAAGATGAGGTTCTAAATACAAAAGACAATCAATTGAGTTTATTACAACTTTTCAAACATGTCACACGATTTCATGACCCGTCTTAATTTTGGTACTTTATAATCTTAATAAAGAAAGTTATATGTTTGGAATTTTGCATATTTGCATTCTTATCCTTTTATTATTATTATTTCATTTGTTTTATTTCATAAATACTATTTGTAATTTTTAATAAATTGTTGGGTTGGCACTGCTGATGACTTCTATCATTTGATGGATGCATTTCATTTATTTTATTTGAAGTCCATTGTTTATTTAATTTCTTATAGACAACTATTAAATACAAAATTAGTGATTTTTTTATTTTAATTTTCCGAATCATATTACAAATAAATAAATATAAAGGGTAACACGATTTTTTTTAATAATCAAGTATAAATAAGTCTTCTTAAATTTTTTTTGTTTGATGGTTTCGGAAAAATAAAAAAGAATTAGATTCTTTAAAATAAACTTGTAACGTATAAATATATTTATTGTCATAAATTTATTAACAAATCAGAGTGGCGCAGCGGAAGCGTGGTGGGCCCATAACCCACAGGTCCCAGGATCGAAACCTGGCTCTGATATAGAGTGGCTTCCTATATCTGATTATTTCTTTTTTGCAAATAAAATTATCTATTTTCCTGTTATTTTCATTATTTATTTTTGCCAATAGAGAAAACAAATAATTATTCGTCAATCAATAATATATTATTATACATATACATTTAAATATGAACCTAAAATTGAACAAATTTAGACAATTTTCATTCAACAGCAGTTATTCTGAAAGAGTGTCAACAAATATTACACCTTCAAAAATTTTAAGACAACACCAACTTACAAGAATTAAAAAAAAATTAAAAATCAAAATTTAAAAATAAAAAATTACAAGAATAATATGAATACTCATACTTCATACAACACTCTACAATCACTTGCATCAAAATTAGCCTTGTTGATTATTATTGCATTGGCTCTTCTTCTTCTTCTTGTTCTTCTTCTTATGCTATTTGATGAGGTGGCACAATAAATAAGGCCACCAAAACAACAGTACCATGTTAGTTACTTTACTCCTATTTTAGTATTTATTTATTATCTTCTTTTTCTCGAACGAAAAAAAAAAATAAAAATCACTGTATTGAGGCCGTGACAGATAGCTCGACTCTTCCGGTCCATTCTTCCCCTGGTTTTAGAGTTATCGGCTTCTCAATTGCAGCTGCATCAACACATAGCATGTGTTTGTACTCATCGTCACCAAAATCCACTATAGCTCTCGATTTTTTGTCCCATGGATTCCAAACAACTGTCACAACCCATTTCAAATCAAGATTTCGAAACAAAAAAATTAATAATAACAATATAATATGGTCTCTCGTTTGGTTTTGAAGATAATCTTCCAATTTGACGGCCGGCCCAAAAAGTTATTGGACTGATCAAACATCCAATAAGGTCCAATTATTTGATTAATCATGCCTAATTTTACCAACCAAACGAGCCCTTATACATGTACGTATTGTTATAAATCGATCTATTGGTACTTACCAATATCCGGGAGCCCTTCCTTTCTTATCACGAAAGTCCTCTTTTTCTCGTGGTCGAATATTGCAACGGCGTCTGAAGAACTAAGGTAAACTCGATCCACCTATGCACCACAAATATACTTTCGTAAAAATCTATAGTTCAAATAAGTGGATTGTATTATCTTTTATTTTTCATTTGCTATTTGTTTTAAATGGCAAGTCCTCGTTTGGTTGGGGGTAGGGGTGGAAATCGGACGAATCTGATCAAAATTAGCACTTTCGGAGAAAGTCTGATTTTTTTTTAAGAAAAGTGGAAAACTGATTCCAATTTCGTTCCAAAACAAACCGGAAATCGGAATAAAAAATTTGTTCCATAATCGGAAATTTTTGGATCGGGATCGTCGGAATTAAGAAAATTTCAATTTTTAGTAACCTAAAATATAAAATACATAATGATTTCGGTATTATAAGTGTATTTTCCAGAAATATTATTGAAAAATAAAATCGGATTGAAAATTGGAATCTCATATGTATTCCAATTCCGATCCAAAAAAAAAAATCGGAGTTGGACTTTGTTTGATTGTTTGGTAAACCCACAATGGTCCAATAAAACAAATTTTATGAGATTATTTAATCTTATCTTAGGAACCAAACGAAGCCCACGGGAATATGAAACATAAGAAAAAATGAGAAGAAAGAATAGTGTTTTACCTCGGATTCAAATGTTAAGGCGTCCCCTTGTTCCGTAAACCGTTCTCTGTTGCAAAGGTTGTCGAGATAGTCGAGAGTTTCCAAGCCCTCTACTCTTACTTCACTGTCGTTTCAAACCGACATTTTTTTAGCCGCAATTTTACGTGTTTGATTAAATCTAAAGAAACTATATTTTTTTTTTAAATCAAAATATTTACCTAATATCCGAGACGGCAAAATACGTGTGGTGGGCAAATGCGAAGCTAAAAGGCTTGCAATTAAAATTCCGAACCCGTGATATCAGACTGAGGTGTCCATCCACACTCAAAATCACCCTAAGACGGAGTTCGTAACTGAAATCAAATTTAAAGAACTATTAACCATAAATTACGGAGCAAATAAAAATTACCGAAATAATAATTTGTGGATTTATTATTACCTATGAGGCCAAATCTTGAGATCATCATCGGATGATGTAAGAAGCAAGTCAATGAAAGTTGTGCTGTTCGAATCAACGGATTGAAAGGGTGGGGGATTTTCATCTACGGCCCACATTCGATTCCTCGCAAATCCATGTTGCTCGAGTGTCCCGCGGTTTCCGAACTTAAAAATCAAGAAAATCGCAAACACATTTTGTATATCAGCAAATAAAAAATAAAAAAAAATTAAAAATTAAATCAAGAATCTGACATATTTTCTTGATTGCAATACCTGTGGAAAACAAGTAGGAATTCCTCCTCTCACAGCAGCAGGTGGTTTCAATTTTGACTGTAAATCGACGTGTGATTTTATTATTATTGCAGATAAAACATCGAATTCATGGTAAAATACTATGCAATGATTATGGCAATAAATTAATGATTTAAAAATCAGCGGCACACCTTATTGCTCGTGAACAATAGTTCTTCGTTGCGTTCGTTTTTCCAGGATCGGACTTGTCCTCCGTGAAGACTAACCTGAAAATTTTGAAATTCATCAAGGAAAAAAAAATCAAAATCAGAATTTGAATCTTGAAAATATAAACAAATCATTCGATGAATATATAATGTAATGATTATAATGCCAAAATGGATCTAACCCGTGCTGAAGCACCGCGTGGACTACGAAGAATAACCTGCGGGATTCCATTCTCATCCTTTGTAATTTCAACTGCAGAATGTTCCATTTTCTTCTTTTTTTTCAAGAACACAACAAATTCAACCTATTTAGTAATCTCTCTCTCTCTCTCTCTCTCTCTCTCTCTCTCTCTCTCTCTCTCTTACACACACACAGAGACAGCCCACAAGTTACAGGATTTTATAGTTGCTAACAAATCCCAATTCTAACTCAGCAATTACAGAAGTAGTTGAAACTCAGAAACAGAGCCTTATCTTGATATCCTTTCTCGTGAACAATAACCCAGTTTCTTGTGAATCCCAACACAATTTCTAACCACCAACCAAACAAATTAAAAATAAATAAATAAAACGAAAAAAACCCTCGATTTTACTCACCGCCACAACAATCAAGAAACCCTCAAAACCCAATTATTGATAACAATAGTGCGACCCACAAACCAAAAATTCATGTAATTACAAAAAAAAAAAAAAACAAGAAAGGTCAGTTCTTTGAACATAAAGAATTCATTTTTTTTTAATTAGGCGAAATTAGGGTTTAATAAGAGGGGGGAAATTGAAACTGTGGAAGGAAGTAAACATGGGTGTAAGAGAAAGCCCTTTTAAGGAGAAGTTGGTCCAAGTTTTGATTAATTGACTTTGTCACCATTTTTCTTTCAATATATAAAAATAAAATAAAAAAGATAAAAAAAAAATCAAGAAAATGGAAAGGTCGTATCTTGAACAGATCTTGAAGAGACCCACTAATTATTATTATCAGCCATTGATCTTTCGGTTTTGGATTTAGACAAAAAAAAAAAAAAAAATTACTAATTTAATTAGATGAGAGTAAGCAGATACCTCAGCATCATGTCTGAAAATCCCAACAAAATTACCTGACTTAACCGTTTTCTAAACTAGGGGTGCATGTTTCTTTTGCAGGAGTATACTTCCATCATTTTCATTCCTCTATTTTTAACTAAAGTAGTCATTTTTATGGAGCTTCTAGTGTAAACGTCTCGTTCAATGTTACATCGGATGATTTTTTATCGTTGATTTACACGCACTAGTGTTTGTGTGTGTATATGAATGGTAAAGATCTATTCGATCATTCCCTCATTTTTAACTAATAAATTAGTCATTTTTATTGAGCTTCTAGTGTAAACGTTCCGGTCAATGTTACATCGGTTGGGTTTAACCGTTGATCTATACACACCAATATGGGTGTGTGTTTTTGTGTTGTGAATGGTAAAAATCTACCTGACGTATTTCACCTGATGTAGTATAATGTAAACTGATCCAAGACTATTTCTATGCAACATCTAATTAAGGCTATATTTAATGGATTTTTACCGCTAATCTACTACGCAAACCAATGTGTGTGTGTATATGTCATTCGATGTAACATAGTATAAACTTTAATGCAACCAGGAGTTGAAATTCGTGGATCCGTGCTTGAATGCATATTTTACACACATTTGTGTATATATAATAGGTGCATGTTTGAATTTATGGATAATATGTTACTGTGAAAATTACAGTTTTTATCCCTCAAGTTTGCATTAATTTTACATTTGGTTCATATATCATATTCAAAAAATACACATTTGGTCCCTCGTGTTTGAATAATTTAATACTTTTGGTCATTTCTGTCAATTTACCTTTAGTTCATCAGTTAACGTAGTGACGGGCATACACATGATTATGTTAATACTAATAGAAAATTGGCGGAAAAGACTAAACGCGTTTAATTTTAAAAACATCAGGGACCAAATGTGTAAATGTATAATTGGTGCAAACTTGAGGGACTAAAATTGTAATTTTCCAATATATTACTCAATGTATTTTACCTCTTTTAATAATTACAAGATCATAGTTCATAAATGAATTATTGACTTTGGAATTCTTTAATTCAAATAGAGAAACCGGTCCACAGCCAAGCACACCAAATTCAGTGCATGGAATTATTAGAGATTCACAAGCAGATAAAATTAGTGATAAAAAGGTATATAATTGATTGAAATAATACTTATCCACATATAATTGTTTTCTATTTTGTTTGTAGATAATCTAATGAACCAATAATAGTTTAAAGATCAAAATGGACAATTATTATTTTATTTTTTTCAAGGACATAAATAATTGCAGCCGGTATTTAAATTGAGAAAAGTCATATATATACTAATTGGCCCCATATTGGGATTTAAATGCAAAGATACATTTGTCAATATGCCCAACTAGGTCCATATATTGGCAGCAATTGTATTTTTCTTTATTTTTATTTTTATTTTTATTTTTGAGAAATTGAGTGATTATATAAATAAATAAAAAATTGATGAACGTATTATTTAATTACTCGTTGAGGATTAAAAAAAATGAATTAAGGTTTGTGGATATATTGGCTGGCGCACGTATTGAATATGGGATACAAGTCCTAGGATTTGTTCAAAGATTGTGTCACGACAAACTTTGGACTTGGTTTTTTTGGTTATTTATTTTAGTCAAGCACAATGGTTTGAACTTTGAAGAATATAGGAAAATATTTCCCAAGTAAAAAAGGCATGTGTTTAGTGTGGTTAGTGAGTCTTGTGAGCCAACTCGATCGATAAAAAATGAATTCAAATTCGAAAAATATGAACTCGAACTCGAACATGTGAGCTTGAGCATTCTGATGAGCTTACTGGGTCGTTTTTCTTTCTTTCCTGTATATATTTGGATATTTTATATATATAAAAAAGTTTACTAATTATGATAATTGATCATGGGCCTTTTATTTTAGTTTTTAGAGATGAAGACTCCTCCATCCGCTTTGATGGATTGAAATCCAATGGGCCAATACCTATGTGCAAGTCCACACACAAATACCATAAAAATCCAATGACATTTTAGGATTCGTTTGCTTACCTACATTGGATAAGATGAGATTAGATTAATAATCAGTAAGATGTTTGATTCGTTAGATTAAAATTTATACTAAATTTGTTAAAATTCTGGTATTAAATATGAATTGTCTAAAAAGTTATTTAATTAACAAAATTAATATATTATTTTAAGGATATAATTGCCTTTTTTCAATTTTAATCACCCCTACAAAATCGCAGGGGTAGGTCGAGCTTTAAGTCTAGTAGCGGACTTGATTAAACACGAATCTTATCAACCAAACATCTTATTAACGTCTACTATTTAGTTAATAGAGCTTAATAGCACTATGCAAACGAGGCCTTAATATATTCAAAAAATTCCTTGTAGGACAACTTAGTCTCAAAGAAAAATTAAATTGGAATTAATGATGCGAATTATAAGCTCCATGAGCTCATGAACTGCCCGAGAGCCCCCCCAGCCCTCGACAGTTCCAAACAAGGCAACTCAAAGTGACGCGAGCGAGATGTTACGTGTGAGGTTCTTCATGATATACCATATCCATTAGCTAGCATGGTGGGAAAAAGAACGAGACGAGAGCCCTCTGAAAAATTTCGATCGGAGCCGTCTTTTACGGAAAGAGAAGAAACGCCTCTCATAGGGAGAGAAAACCCTAAAAGAAAAGAGGTCAAAAGTTCATTTTATATCATAAGAAATGTGTACTCTTCAAATTTCAGATTTTTTTTTTGCTTGTGTAGATTCTTCGAACATCGTTGGAAAGCAAAATCGAAGGCTGAAAATGCATGATGTTTTAAAGCCGTTCATTTGGAATATTCTATACAAAAAAGTTTTCCCATTGTTGGTGATGATACTCGCATGCAATGATGAAAGAGATCACTCATCATAACCTAATTAATTAACAAAACTTTGCACTTCAACTATATATATTTATATATAATTAACGGTCGGAGTTAGGTTAAAATCCCAACCGTTACATTCGATCAAGAATCGATTACAATAGTGTTCATAGTGACTATACAAAATGTTGAAATAATGGAATCCACCTCGTTTATTAGGTTGTAAGTCGACACCATATGGTTCATCGTTATTATAAGCTCGAAATCTCAAATATAAACTCAATGCAATATTATTGGATCCGCACATAATTATGAGCGTCGGAGGATTTTCGTCGGGATTTCTCTGACGCTTGTTTACGCAATCGACGTGCAATTTCAAAAAGTATCGATCCGTTTCAAAGATTAATTCGAGGTGGGCAAGAAAATTAAATCTTGATCCATATCAGTGATAAATCAACTGGAACAAGAAGAAATTAAATAAGCTTTGAAAAATGGAATTTAGAAAAGAAAAAAAAAAAGGAAAAAGCATGACGCCTTGGCTGCTGACGTGTCAGCGATCCAAGATGCTTCGAAATACTAAATCTAATGTTGTTTCAAGATTTCTGGACCACCACTCTTTTAGTAGCAACCTAGTTATTTTTCTCATTATTATTGTTTTTTTTAATTTTTAATTTGTAATTTTTAATTATTAAATAGTACCGACTCTATAAATTGGGAGGTGTCACGCAAATTTCAGTCCCAAACAGTTTATACTAATTTCAAATTTCAGATATATAAATTTAAATATTCGTCTCTCTCTCTTAATAAAATCTCCGAGTTTCGAAGAATACATTCAGGTTTCTGTCTCTATCTCCGCCTACAAACACACACACACACACACGAAAACACACTTGTATTCACACAGTGGGGAAAAGAAAGAAAAAAAATAGTAACACACACACAGCACGCAATAGTTTATACATACACATCAAAGAAGAGATCTTGATCGATAAATTACGAGAATGGGAATATGCAATCGGTGGGAGTGTTAGGAAATTCGGCAAATTAGACGAGGAGGCAGGGGCATTATCGTCTTTGAGGCATCGGAGTGAGGGTTCTTCTTCCGCGTTGCTTCGTTCTCAACACGTTTCTGGATTTGGGGTTTATCGTGTGAAAAGACAAATTTGCCACTCGTGAATCGTGATCGGACCTATAAAGTCAACATAACCATATTTGATTTTGAGGTTAGACATATATATATATATATAATTTATTTTTTATTTTTTATTATTTTTTTAATTTTTTAAGTCTCCATACCGACTTAGAGCTACTATAATACATATGGTTTTCAGAGTTTTGGATTTATATAGAAAATGTAAGCTGCAATTCTTTGAATTTTTGTGCCACACTGTGCATAGAAGTAAACTGTAGACTTTGTTCTTAGTTGACTATAGATATTGATTTTTGTGTATATATATGTAATTAAATGAATTCCATGAAATTCATCTAGACTTAATATGCAGATATTGAAGTGAGAAGCAGCTGTGTTTTTTTTGCTACAAAAATGGCTTCCAATGGAACAGTAAAATGTCAACCGCCGATGAAAGCGGCATCGAACGGCGTTTTCCAAGGGGACAATCCCCTGCATTTCGCTCTTCCGTTGTTGATCATACAAATATGCTTGGTCGTCGTTCTTACGAGGGTGCTCGCGTATTGTCTAAGGCCACTCAGGCAACCGCGCGTCGTTGCCGAGATTATCGTAAGAGTTTCCTATATGATAAACAAGATTCTCTGTTTCGTAATTCTTGATACTGAATTTCGATTATGATTCCGTGTATTTTGACAGGGAGGAATTCTACTAGGACCTTCGGCTTTAGGGCGAAACCAGAAATACCTGCACGCTGTTTTCCCGCCTCAAAGCCTCACGGTTCTCGATACGATAGCCAATCTTGGTCTCCTATTCTTCCTATTCCTCGTAGGGCTCGAGCTCGACCCAAAAGCTCTCCGACAAACCGGTAAAAAAGCACTAAGCATCGCCCTAGCAGGAATCACTCTCCCGTTTGCATTAGGTATCGGCACTTCATTTGTCCTTAGAGCAACTATTTCCGAAGGAGTAAGCCAAGGCCCATTTCTCGTGTTCATGGGAGTTGCCCTCTCGATCACGGCTTTTCCAGTCTTGGCTCGTATTTTAGCCGAGCTCAAGCTCTTAACAACCGATGTAGGCCGAATGGCCATGTCAGCAGCAGCGGTTAACGACATCGCAGCTTGGATTCTACTTGCTCTGGCAATAGCACTTTCCGGCACGGGGCGTTCGCCCCTCGTCTCTATCTGGGTTTTCCTATGTGGATCCGGCTTCGTAATCCTCTGCATATTCTTGGTCCCACCTGTTTTCAAACAACTAGCAAAAAGATGCCCTCAGGGCGAGCCGGTGGACGAGATTTACATATGTGCCACTCTGGCGGCTGTTTTGGCGGCAGGGTTTGTTACCGATGCAATTGGAATCCACGCGCTTTTCGGTGCTTTTATTCTCGGTGTTCTTGTGCCAAAAGAGGGTCCGTTTTCCGGTGCTCTTGTTGAGAAAGTGGAGGATCTTGTCTCGGGTTTATTTCTTCCTTTGTATTTTGTGTCGAGTGGATTGAAAACTAATGTGGCCACCATTCAAGGAGCTCAGTCGTGGGGCCTACTTGCGTTGGTTATATTTACCGCGTGTTTCGGGAAAATTGTCGGCACTGTTGTGGTTTCTCTCTTGTGCAAGATTCCTCTCAAAGAGGCGCTGACTCTCGGTTTTCTGATGAACACTAAAGGCTTAGTCGAACTCATCGTACTCAACATCGGAAAAGACAGAGGGGTAAGTAAATAAATAACTAATTTTTTTGTTCACTTGGCTAATTAGTAGTTAGTATTCTGATATTCTCTCATGATCTTTTATCTGACATTTATGAAAATTTGTAGGTTTTGAACGATCAAGCTTTCGCAATCATGGTTCTGATGGCTTTGTTCACGACATTTATTACGACACCTATCGTCGTGACAATATACAAGCCGGCCCGGATGGCTAGATCGGATTACAAACACAGAACTATTCAGCGAAAGGAAAGTCAAACTCAGCTCAGATTGTTGACTTGTTTCAACAGCACGAGAGATATTCCGAGCTTGATCAATCTCATAGAAGCCTCACGTGGTACCGGAAAACGCGAGGGAGTACTCCGTGTCTACGCAATGCATCTCATGGAGCTCTCGGAGAGGTCGTCCGCTATACGTATGGCTCACAAGGCGAGGAAAAACGGGATGCCGTTTTGGAACCGGGTCAAAGATTCCGACCCGACCCAAATCGTCGTCGCCTTCGAGGCCTTTCAGCATCTAAGCCAAGTGTCGGTTCGACCGACAACCGCGATATCGTCCATGTCATCAATGCACATCGACATTTGTAATAGTGCAACGAAAAAGAAGGTGGCGATGATAATTCTCCCGTTTCACAAGCACCAACGGGTCGACGGGTCATTTGAGACTTCACGGGTAGGGTTGAGGCATGTGAACAAACGGGTTCTCGAGCACGCCCCGTGTTCGGTTGGGATTTTTGTTGACCGGGGGCTCGGCGGAACTTGTCAAGTAGCTGCGAGTAATGTGGATTATAATATAACGGTCTTTTTCTTCGGTGGGCGTGACGACCGTGAGGCTGCATCGTACGGGCGGGTCATGGCGGAGCATCCCGGTATCCGTCTGGACATTGTCCGTTTCGTTGTGGGCCCGGGTGTCGGTGGAGATTCGGTGCGGGTGGATATTGGTGGTGGTGGTGATGAATCAAGATCGGCTGATGAAGTGTTTATCGCGGAATTCGAGTCGAAAGTGTCGAAGGATAATGGTTCGATCAGGTTTGAAGAGTTTGAGGTGAGCGGTGCATCGGAGGCGGTGGAGGTGATGCGGCGGTACAATCGGAGTAATCTGATTGTGGTGGGGAGAGTGGCGGAGGGGGAATTAGTTGAAGCGCTTAAGGGAAGAAGCGAATGTCCGGAGTTAGGAGCGGTGGCGAACTTGTTGATTGGTTCGCCGGAGTTTACAGCGTCGGTGTTGGTGGTGCAGCAGTTTTGCGGCCAACTCACCGGAGATTCTCTGAGAACTCTGAAACAGGGAGATGCGCCGGAGGCTGAGGGGGAATCTGATTCACACTGATTATATGTAATTGTTTGTTCATTCTCAAGAAGAAGATGTGAATAAGTGTACAATCACTTCAAATATTCTTATAACAGAAAAAACCACTTACAATATTTCCCTTTTTTTTTTTTTTTTTTGAGTATTAAGAAAGTCAATTCAATTACATGGAGATGTGAAATCGCTAGGATTAAATTGGTCCACAATACAAATGAATAAAAAAAAATATTGTATTTTGGTACAATTATTCAACTAAACAATTTTTTTTTGTCACATGTAGTTAGTCATTAATTCGATTTCCGGGGATATCCGTAAATGAATCGAATTGAACCGAACTTTTGATGTTCAAATTTATTTGAATTTTTATCATTTTTAATCGATTTTTTATAATAATTATTATTTTTTTAATTGAACTCGAGTAAAGTTGAGCTTCTTACCTTTTTGGAACTAAAATATACGTTCAAGTTTGTTTGCTTTACTAACAAATCGAGCTCAATCAAACTTTTAAGAGACAATTTTGAATCAAATGCCGAATAACTTAATTTGATCCATATTACATCATTACCCTTCTTAATTTACTGATTCTATTTTTTTTGCCATTTTCATATATATATATATATATATATATATATATATATATATATATATATATATATATATACAGTCACCCCTGAAGTATGGCCAAATTACGAAAAAATCCCATCTTGTTTGGGTAATTACAACACCCCTTCCTTTTAAATATTTTTTACATAAAATTTATGTAATTTGGTTATTTACTGAACCAAATCGTATATTCAGTTCGGTAACAACATGAAATATTGCCGCACCAAAATTTCGGTTGGGTTTTACCGGTTTAATATCCCTAAATTTAACTCTGGAGGGGTATTTTCGTAAGATAATACATAGTTGCGGGGGTGACTGTAATTACCCAAACAGAATGGTGATTTTTGTAATTTAACCATAACTCAGGTGGTTGGCCGTAATTTGCCCTTATATATAATTTATTTTTCCTCTTATTTGCAATGTTCTCAGAACCGGACCGGACATAAAACCGGCTAGGCATTCGGGTCACGGTTGGACCGGTTCAACCGGGTTCAACCCGGGTATTTTATTTTTTGTTATTTTATAATTATTTACAAATTTTAGTACTTCAAAATTATTAATTTTCTATTTATTTATATATTTGACTCCACTTCTTCACTATAAATACAATTTTCTCTATTTATTTATATATTTCAAACAATTTTTTACTTTACAATTTTTCTTATTAATTAAATTCACTTGTCCTTTTTTCTCACTCTTGATTTCCACGCCACATCCTTCCCCTTCCCCTTCCCCTTCCCCACTCTCTCTCTCTCTATTCTCTCTCTCCTCTGCAAATCTTCAAAGCAATCTGCCCTCTTTTTTTCCTCTCCCTTTTTCTTTCTTTCCCAATTTTCTTCTCTACACATCTCTTCATTTCCGGCGACATAGTAACTAGATCCGATTTTAGTCGACGTTTATCGGCCTTCACCCCAAGATTCGGCATTTACAGTCCAGATCCGGCCACCCAACACTTCGAAAAGCACCATTTCAGACAAAAACCGGGGTCTTCCACCGGTTTCCGATCGAACCGGCGGTTTTTACTCTCTGACCCGGTTTTTGATTTCTCCGGTTTTCATCGTTGAACCAGACCGCCAAGATGCCGGGTCGCGGTCGAACCGGTCGGACCGGCCGGTCCGGTCCGGTTCTGACAACCATGCTTATTTGAGCACCTTTAATAGAAAAACGGCGTCGTTCAGCTGATTTTCAATTTTTATCTTAGCGTGGGTAAATACTTATCTGGGTAAAAATAACTGATTAAACATTTTCATATTTCAATTTATCAAACGAAATTCATTTTTCTTGACTTTCATTTTTCAAGAGACGAAAATTCCCTTTGGGGAGGAAGAAGCCTCATGGATGCCGCGAACTCCGCCACCGCCGCCTCCAGCTCCGCCACCTCCGACGCCGTTAAGGGGGTAAAGCTTGACTTAACCCAAACCTACATTACATATAAAATATCTAGTAAATTTTACACGCTTAGTATCTGTGATCGCATTACGATGTTTATAATCCTTAATCCGTAATAATCCGACCTAAATTTCCGATTTCCGCTTGCTTATATTTTATCTCGATTAACTGATTATCTCCGGTATCGATTGTTTATCAAGGATTTAGGGAATTATTACTTGTTGACTTAGTATTTTGATTTTGCATGTATTTTGATTTAGGGGATTTTAAGTTGCTTAGAACTGTACGGACTATGATCTCGCTTTGTGCTTGTTAAGATGCGCAAATCGTCTTCGTGTTAGTGTTCGTTGAACGAGAAGGATATAGAATTGAGTATTGTGTGCTTGTGGTAATGGATAATGATGTTTAATTTTTTTTTTTTTTTTGATTGGGTAGATGGTATTTGATTTTAATTACTTTCCGCCCAATCTTATTGCTCTCTCATGCAAGCCCCTTCATGATTTGATTTTGGTTATACGTGTGCTGAAAAAATGCAGGAGGGTAACCACATGGAATCTGTTAGTGGTGATCTTGAAACGAATTGTTGGGGCTGTGGACTTCGTGTTCTTGTTTCTCGTACCGCGTCTGTGTTTAAATGTGGGTGGTGTGGAGCTATAACAAAGCAAAATGTGGCGAGAATTGATAGCAACTACACTCGGTTTAGACGCTTGAGGGACCAGTGCTTTGTCAGCATCGTGCTTCTATTCATGCTCTTCTTTACATGTAAGCACGGCTTGTACCTTGATACTTAATTGTCCTGTTGACCAGCTCACAATTAGACGTGCATAATAGATTCTCGTCAACATGGATTTTGTCGGCACGTAAGAGTTTTAAGTTTAACTGTTGCACGACCCGACAGCTCGGTACTTCTCGAGCTCCACGTGTTATTCCAATTTCTGTTTTGGAAAATAATGCAAATATCGAAGATGACTTGCGCGATTACTTTGTATTTATTGAATCCGTTGTTTTGGCTAACATTCTTTTAACGGACAACTTGATGCTTTAATCGTCAATATAATGATATAAAACACAGAATGATGACCATATACTTATTTTCTTGATTTTCTGGATTTAGAGTATCTTGTATTAAAATCGATATCGGTGACGCAGGTGCTGGTATGTGGGCTGTTAATCCTATAATCTTCTCCGTCAGTTACTTCGTTGGTCTTCTCCACATCACACTAGCAGCAATATTATCCATCTCTACGTTATCATCATTTTGCCTTGCGGCATTTCGATCTGCCGGTACTCCACCGATGATACTATGGGGTAGCTATCCGGCAGTTGGGAAAGGTGGACTTGAAAATCATACGTACTGCCACTTTTGTTCAAAGCCGAAACCACCTAGGGCACATCATTGTCGTTCGTGTGGAATGTGCATACTGGACATGGATCATCATTGCCCTTTCGTAAGTTTTTAAATTTTAATTAGAAAATAAGACATTCATGTTTTAATCGGCAAGAAACTTCATGCACATTAAATGGCATTAGTTCTGCTATTACGAGCACTATTGCACTTCTGGGATTTTTTTTTGTTTTTTTTATAAAGGGTTAATTTATATAGTCATCAATTTTCTTGATTATATGCAGATTGGGAACTGTGTCGGTGCTGGAAATCATCGTCCGTTTATTCTCTTTCTCATATCTACAGTCATAAGTACACTTTACGTTGCTTTTATGACTTCCTTTGCTGCACTACATATATGGCCACCTCTAGAAGATAGGAGTGTCAGCCATATCAGTGGGGTTGTTAGTACCGAGTTCGTTTACAGAGTGTTGAAAGATAACGTTCTTTCATTTCTGAGATCGGCGGTTTTCCTATCTGCAAGAGGACTCGTTCTTGTTTACCTGTTTATATCTAGTGTGTCACTGGGAATTGGTTTGAGTGTGCTTTTGTGGCAGCAGCTGAGTTATATATACGTTGGTAAGACTTACTTGAGTCAACTCAGTGCAGTGGACAGTGAAGAAACGACGGAAAGGGATTGCCAGAATCTGGTTAGATTTTTCGATTGTCCGTATAATGCAGCGGCGTATTTGCCAAGTTACTGGAAATCGGGGAAAAGTCATAGGAAGTAAAGATTCCGAGGTGTGTTACATTCGTCTACATCAACTTTCATGAATTTGCAACTTCGTTTATTTTTAGCTTTGAATATGTCATTTTTGCATGAAATAGGTAAATCCCGAAGATGGTTGAATGTTAACTTTTTTCCGGCATATATTTTTATAGGTTAGAAAGGAACGACATTGTTCCCGGTACACTTGTGAAAGAGTTCATGAAGGGAGGATGGACTAGGAAAGTGCTAGAAATGCCGATAAGTAAATTTTGTAACCTGGTATAGTACACGTGTTATATGCTGAGCTGGCAACCGAAATTACGGATCAGCATTCAATATTGTAAGTTGTAGCCCCCTGTATTAAGTGTGTTGTGGTATATCTTTCCTTCATTGAAAAGAGCTTATAGAAAATATTGTAAGAAAAAGACATGTTTTTCGGGATTTTTTCTTCTTTCTCCCTTTGTTTCACAAGTCACAGAGCTTAGTGTATAGATACGAAAACCGATTATTCTATTTTTACGTATATCATCTACAAGATAGATTTTAATTCGTTAACGGGAGAGTGTGTTCTGATTTGGGTCGGTGTTCTTTATGCGAGTGTACTTAATATCTTAATACGCATTTGCCCGTACACGTTTTCTGCCGACTGATTTTGTCGATTTTCAGTTTGTTTCGGTACATATGTAGTGTATATACTTCTTGATGATGATACTTTCATCTCATATTTACATTCCAATCACACATTTCTAATATATTTAAATCCAAAAGCAGAATTTTAAAAAGAAAAAAAAATTTGAAAATAATTAAGCATACAAAGACAACTTAGGATTATTAGGAAGAGTTGTAGTTTCAAGAACAGGCAGAGTTCTGGTCCCTTCGGCACGTGGCATTTTGCTTCTAGAAATCCAACATGTTTCCAGAAACTCCCCTTCATCAGCTTCTCTCTCCATTTCTTGATTCCTCCTCCCGAAAACCGATCTAACCGCCACCGCGCCGCCCAACTCCACCACCATCAGCCCTACGAATCCGGCTGAAAACCCCATTATCCAAAACGGCCGCATCTTCTTCTCCGTCTCCCTCTTCTCCAACGGAACAACTAACGAAAAATGGCCTCGTTTTCTGCTATAACACACATTACTCGAACTAATCTCACTAATCAAAACCTCCCTGTAATCCCCGAAAGAAGCACATTTAACCATCCGATTGCTTTGTTTTAACGCAATTGAATCTTGGAATTCAACCGAAATGGGCTTCCCCATTGTGTTCAATTCCAGATTCGACAGGTTTCTGCTATTCAAATACGAAGCGTCGTAAACGAGAAAACCCACAACGGGGGTTATCATCGCGTAACCGGATATATTATAGTACAATGAAGACCAGTTTCCGAGGTTGTGGTATACTATGAGGAGCCTCTTGGCGTAAGGCACGGGGAGTGTTTTCGGCGGGATGACGAAATGGCTGAAATTTGCACCTTTTGTGAATAGGGTTTTGCTTCTGAGACCCACTACTGAGAGCTTCATTCCGGCGAGATTTGGCGGGAGAGTGGCGGCGTAGAGTTCGCCGGTGTGGGGCCGCCGCAGCATCATTACTCGGAAAGCGTGGTCGTGGAAAATGGCGTCTAATGATTCGTTGAATTTGCTGCTGCTGCTGCTGTTGTTGAAGGAATGGATCAAAGAAGGGAAATGAAATAACAGAAATAATAACCAGATGAAGTAAAATTTATTCATGTTGAAGCTTTTTTTCTATTTTATTTTTTGTGTGTGTTGATCATTCATAAGGGGAATCTCTCTTAAGCGCAATGCCCCATTATTCCTTTTATTTATTTATTTTATTATTATTTTTAAAAACTTTTTCAGGTTGATGACGTGGCATTTCCAACGGTAAAATTTTTGGGGACTTTTGTTGTAATGATAGAAAAGTAGAGAATTGTTTTCTTTTGCCGTAACTTTCCAGTTTTTATTTAGTGTAAATTACAGTCACCCCACTAATGTACTAACGTAAGATTCATAGTTGATGGGATAATTGTAATTATCCAAACATGAGAGGTCTTTTTGTAATTATACCTTATCTCAGGGAAAGTCCTAATTCACTCCCGATTTTTTTTTTGAGTTTCAATAATAATACTATAGTCATATTTATATTTCATATTTCAGTTTATACTATTTAACTAGAAAAAATATATGCTTATATATTGTTATGTTAAAGAAAATTAAAAAAAATAAATAGAATTTTGTTTTCCATAAAGCCACGTAATGATGACTGTTGCATCCCACTAACTGCGGTATCACTGCACGCCGATTTGTTCGATGCTACACCCGGTGAAAAACACCGGGTGGGTCTTCTGCTGCCACGTGTCTCTTTTTTATATTTTATAATAGATTCCTCGCTAGGGTTTACCTTTAGGGGTTTTAGAAAAATAAAAAAAAGAACACGTGGCAGCAGAAGACCCACTCGGTGTTTTTCACGGGTGTAGCATCGAAGGAACCCTGCACGCCGTGGTTACTTTTTTAGAGATGAATAATAATAATAATGAATGGTATTATAGAAAATTAATCACTATAGCCTAAACATAATCATCAATTTTATTTCAAGTGTAAATACGGTTGGCAGGGGTTTCGAACTTGGGTCAATTGACGCAAGTTCGCTTGCTCCAACCGCTAGACCATCAATTAGCGTGACGTGAAATTGAAAACACAAGAAATTTATTCATATTCAATTGAATGGATTCGTAAACGTTATAATTTATCTGATTAAATTTAACAATTTGTTAGATTCTTTTATTTATTAATTTATATGAATATGATCCAATTATCCAAATGTTATCAATAATTTAGTGAGATTTGCAATTTATCATGGGCGGAAGCCCATAAGTAAAACTTTTATATATGAAGCCCACTGACTAATTCATGTGAAAATGTGAAGCCCAAAAAATATTCGTCACCTTGTTAGATATATAAGAAGATGAAATTAATTAATTAATTAATTAATTAATTAACTAATTAATTAGTTAACAATCTACTAGACACTATGTATTCATGCACGTGCACATACTTTATAAATACACTTTACATATATATATGTATATTAGTTAATGATAAAAGATGACGTATAGATACAGATACATATATGCTTATAATTAGAGATTAGATAGTTATAAAGCATCTAGGTCACATTGCAAATATTAAGTACTTGTGAGACAAGCAAGAATCTCTTTAAAATCCACTTAAAATCACATCACCTTAGAGTGTATTTGTTGGAGTAAGGACAGCGCAGCGACTAATTACTCGTGTTCAGTCTCTTTCGTCGTCAGTATATTTTAAGTCCTGCTAACTGTATATATGTATGAGATATAAATCCGAACTCTCGTATAATAATTTGCAAACTACACGACAGACGTAAATCACAATAGATGAATTAATTGTGACAAGCTCGACATGACGATGTACCTTTGAATGGATTCGAGGAAAAATTAAAGTTATATCTTAATATTGTTTATTATATAGTTGCTTTATATATTCTTGATTCTTAAACAGTCAAAAAAGGTCAAAGTGTTGGCTTGTCCCTAATGTGCTTTAGGAATGAATTTAATGAAAAAAAAATATATAATTAATGGCTAATTTTCCGACATGAGGAATTTAATGATGGTACTCCCTCCGTCCCGATTTAAATGACGTTTTGGGTTGTTGCACACGTATTAAGAAAATCAATAAATGTGTATAGATTATAGTGAAAAATATAGGAAAATACTAATATATCCTTGACATTAATTATTTTACAACTACCAAATTAGGGGTGATAAAAGGGTAAAATTGAAAATAGTGCAATTAATGATGGATTGAAAATCTAAAATGACAAATAATTTGGGACAAAAAAAACTCTCTAAAAAGACATATAATATGGGACAGAGGGAGTATAATATATAGGATGATACCTACCACTTCAGAAGATGCAGGAGAAAAAAAAGAAAAGTTTAGAGGTATATCTCTAGATTGTACTTATTAATTACTAAAATAAGCACTAACCTTTTTAATTAAATATTATGCAAATCTAATTCCCAAAACCATTTACATGTACTTTGCATTTGTTGGATTCTTTTTTGACTCTTGATCTACTTTGGTGTACTTGGAGAATATATATATATATATATATATATATATATATATATATATATATATATATATATATATATATATATATATATATATATATATATAATTTTGGTTTTGATCATAGGCGAGAGAGGCGGTCGACTCGAACTCCTGATTTTTAGAAAAAAATAGCCCATAATATTTAAAGGGGAAATATGCAATACCCCCCTCATTTGAAAAATATTTTGAATTAAACCCAATTGACTTTAAAGACTTTTCCCATAACCCAAATTCTAATCTAAATTAGTGAGACCCCCCTTATCAGATATGATAAGACTAAAATGCCCCTATGTGTTAGGGTTTTAATTTTATTCCTCACACGTTCACACTCTTTCTCTCACGTTCACTCTCTCTGTTCTCTTTTTTTTTTCTTTTTTTTTTTTCTTTGCAGATCTGTATTACCGCCGCCGCTATTCATCGAGATTTACACCGGTGCCGCCGTTCTCCATCGATATTTACACCGGCGTCGCCGCCCTCCTTCTCCGTTTCACACCACCGCCATTATCCACTTACCTAACCGCCGATCACAGCCGCCGCCTAGGGTTCCGCCGTCAAACCTTCCAAAAAACTCATGTTGTATGGATATGTAGGTCTGTGTGTGTGTGTGTGTTTTGTATGTGTGTGTGAAATATTGTCTCTCTCTTTCTCTGTTATGTTTTTTTTTTCTTGAGATCTGTCTCTTGTGATTTTTAGATTTTTGGATCTCTTGCGACTTTGTATGTGGGTCTGTGTGTATATGTGTGAAATGTATATGTGTGTGTGTGTGTGTTTTGTATATGCGTGTGTGTGTTCTGTATATGTGTGTGTGAAATATTGTATGTGTGTGTGTGTGTGTGTGTGTGTGTGTGTGTGTGTTCTGTATATGTGTGTGTGAAATATTGTATGTGTGTGTGTGTGTTCTGTATATATGTGTGTGTGTGTGTGTGTGTGTGTTCTGTATATGCATGTGTGTGTGTGTGTGTGTGTCTGTGTGTGTGTTCTGTATATGTGTGTGTGTTCTGTATATGCGTGTGTGTGTTTTGTATATGTGTGTGTGAAATATATGTATGTGTGTGTGTGTGTGTGTGTGTGTGTGTGTGTGTGTTCTATATATGTGTGTGTGAAATATTGTTTTGTGCATGTGTTTTATTTCTGTATTTTTTGAATTTTTTTCTTTTTCAGATCTCTGTATTACAGTTTTAGATTATATTTGAACAACGGTAGTAATATGACTATAGTTATATTCGAATATGACTATTGTTGAATATGACTGTAGTCATATTCGAATATGTTCCATTTTATCGTTTCATGTTAACTTGTAATAACAAGATTCAAATTATGATTTTTTGTGTGGATGTTGATTGGATTGTTTTCGTAAATAATAGACAATCTTCGTTGTCGTCTTTTTTTTTTTCCAGATAGAACAGCAGTAACATGACTATAACATGACTATAATATGACTATAGTCATATTCGAATATGACTATTGTTGAATATGGCAGTAGTCATATTCGAATATGTTTTATCTTATCGTTTCAAGTTGACTTAAAATAACAAGATTGAATTGTGATTTTTTTTGTGGATGTTGATTGGATTGTACCACACAATATAATCGGATTTTTTAAGTTAAAAATGTAAAAAACTGCAATATAAATAAAGAATATGACTACAATTGAAATAGTCACATATAGTCACATTCGGCCTAATAAATCTGTTGAGAAAAAAAATTCAATTTTTTGTTTAAAAAAAAAATATTTTTATTAAAAAATATTAAAAAAAAATAAAAAAAAAAAAAAAAAATAAAAAATGCTTATATCCGAAATAATAAATAAATTTTTTTTTTTTATTTGGTTGTAGATTTTTAGGAATTAGGAAAAAAACAAAAAAATGAATAATTGGAACAAAATGTGCTAATTGATGTAAGGGTAGTATTGGGAATAAAATTTCTAAGGGTTTATCACAAAGAAAGATTTAAGGGCTGGACATATCACCATTTATTAGCGAGATGAGGGGCTTATCGCTAATGACCCCATATTTAAAACATATAAATAGTTGAAAGTTTTGAATAACTATAACTATAACTATATTATTTTACATAGTTTATGTATTTGTTGGAAATTGTTACAAGTTATCTTCCATTTGAATTGAATGAAATGTCTTAGATCAACTGTAATTTGTTAGATATAGAATTTTTCTATCAATTTTTTTCTCTTTCAATATTTTAAACTTTTCTCTAACTTTAAAGAGTCTCGCCAAGTTGAAATGTACTATATTTTGTTTTTACTAATCATATTTAACCAAATGTTTTATATATATATTTGCTTGTTTAACAATATTTCTATGACTATTTAAAAAAAAAATCAAATTTCTACCCCGAACCCTGTAAAATTTTGATTTACCTTGAGTTTATCATCAATACTTTAGTCATGTTTTCTAAATAAATTTAACCCATAATAAAAA